CTCTTGCTCAGGCTGGTTTCGAACTCCTGAGCTCAAACAATCTGCCCGCCTTGGCCTCCCAGAGAGCTAGGATTACAGGCGTGAGCCACCGCACCCGGCCTAAATATATTTTATAGACAATTTTTCCATCTACTGAATCCCTTACCACCAATGGAAAATGACATTTAAGAAACAATGATATAAAGTCATTGCCACCTAGCATAGTTTTTTAACAGCATCCAGAAATAATTACATTATTTATTTACACAAATCCCCAAGAGTACCAGTCATAGAATACTATAAGTGCACAACGTCAGCATGCGAAAGAGATACCATGTTGTATACCTAGGAAGTACTGAATATTATGGTAATATAGTTACAAATACTTACCCCTGTCCAATTTTTTCATATCTTGTATATTTTTTCTTAGGGTCACCTATGCTCACAATAGTTCCTATTTTAAACAAAATCAACAAAAATTTGGAAGCTCAGTCAAGTATTTTAAATACAGATTAATTTTGATATCACTATTCCTTTTAATAAACTTCAAAGATTTTAGAACAGTAATTTTCAAATATAATACTAAGTTTTAAAAATAGTATGTTTCAAACACAAAACACTAAAGAAACTTAAATACATAGTAAAAGTTTAAAAGTACCAGAAGCAAGAAGACACATTATTTCCATTAGGTTAGACCTTCTAACTAATCACTTTTTCAAAAATGATCAACCAGAATGACTAAACTGTCATTCTGAGAGTAATGGGATTCTCAGATGTTCGGATTTAAAACTGGGGAATTCCAGGGTAAACAAATTGTTTACTTTCCTACTCTACTAAAATGTATTAAATTGGTGATGTTATCAAACTACTTACTATTAGAAAAAATAAATGAAAGATATACAAATGAATAACTGTAAATGGCTTTTCTGACTCTTCCAGTATATCTTCCATCTTTTAATATATTTAACTTTACTCTAATAGAAACTAATCATATATTTGTTTTAGGAAAGTTTAAAGTCACAACTAAGAAACAGGTTTTAGAATTAAGAGATTGGACATAAAACCATAACTTATATTTTTGTTATCAGAAGTCAAAACATGAGAAAAACCACACTAAATTTTCACTTGCTAAAGGTAAAAAAAGACACGGACATATCAAGGAAACTCACATAAATAAGTTTACATAGGTACACAACCTCAAGTCAACAAGCACAAGAACAGGATCAACAATAAGAAGTTAAGAGCAAAAAGATACCAAAAAGATAGGAGATGTGATAGCTAAAGGTCACAAATGAGTGATGAGAATCACTGTTCTAGTTTATTTTTTTTTTTTTTAAGTAGCAGCTCCCCTAAAAGAAAGAACACTATATATGTCCACAGAATACCAGAGTAAAAACAGGTTTACACTTGAAAGCACCAAGAAATCAAGAGCACATAAACACAGAGCATATAAATGTTTAAAACAATCCACCCTTAAAGTACTTTTCCTTTATCTCCCTAGGTCAGTGTTCTCTATAACTATAGTTGCTGTAACTTGTGATCAGACATCGCTATCCTCTAGCTGGCACTGTTTACATTATTTCCAATACTTGAAACAGGCCAATGATAGTTGATAGATTAAAAGGGAGAATAGAAAAAAAGTTTTCCCTGGAATAGATTTTATGCCTTCTATATTTATAGAGAGAAGCTGTTTTGTTTGCTTATTTAAGGATATTTATGCAGGTTCACATTAAGAAGCTATAGGTATGTATAAATATGTACAAAACTCCTTTGACAAGGTTTCTATGTCCCTTAGATTTTGCCCTTAGAAAAAGGAAAAAGCATTGCCCCCAAAGGTACTGATTATTGCAGAGACACTACTCGTGAATCAACACATAATACCTTTCAAATGCACTAATCAACAGGTAAAGATGGGAATATTATTTTGGCTTCACTGAATTTTTATTGAAGCCATTGTTCCGGTAGGAAAACAATATTCTTTACGCCTTAAGTCAAAACATAAGGTATACATTAAAATACACATGGGTCAAATGTTTTAGGAGCTGTTAACAATTTAAGAATAATGTAAAATGTAGGTAACATACTTAATTTCTCCATAATTTCTTCATCTGTCATCTTGGTCTTCTTTTTCTGTTTGTCTGAAGACTTGGCACCACCATCAACAGTAGAATCACCAACTGGTGCAGGAATGGGGTCAATTACAGACCGTGTGTAAATCTGCAGAGACATAGCTCATTACTGAGATATGAGGAATAATATTTTCAGATATTTTTACTGGCACGCTATTC